TGATATCACCAATCAATAATAAAGCAACATATGAAAGGTGAACTCTACATGCAAATATAACTAACACTCTAGAAATTTTTACATATATGTAGTCATGAGATTAATTATATTTGCATATCAATAATGATAGATATTACTTTTGTATTGAGATTGTTTCACAAAATTTTCATACATAAAAATATAATTTGTTGTAGTCACTTTATTTTCAATAAAACAATGACTATTATTTTCATAAATTTAAAAATGCCCTTGATATTAATTTTATTCTAAATATTATTTTTGTTTAAAATTTTATTTATATACATATGTAAAAAAAAAAAAATGAAAAATCCAGGGGGACACGTGACCCCCTAGTCCTCATATGGCTCCGCCACTAAATACACACACACACATATATAATTTAATAAATGAATAAGGTAGGTTTAATTTGAAAATCGTTTAGCAATTATTTATTGTATGTGGAGTTTAAAATTATCTGAATTATAGCTTTGACACAATAGCGTGAGCAATTAATAATATTATTAAGAAAAAAAAAATTATGCAAAAAAGTTCACATCAACAAATTTATAATTTAAAATTATTTTTTATTTTTTGAAATTGATAATAATATAGTAGTGATCAATAGATCATTGATTTAAAATCTCAATAATCTATTCTATCCTGTTGAAATAAAATAAAGATCTCTATGCCATCAAGTTTTACCATCTAAGTTTCACAACAATTATTGATTTTAACTTCTTGTGAGAAAGCAAGGAAACAAAAGAAAATAAAAGAAAAAGACCAGGATCATGAATTTATTGTTCAACAAAATGAATTTTAAAAATTTTTCATGAGGACCCATTTGAATTAAAAGTTGATTGCCCCACCAGTCACCCAATTTGTTGGACAAAGAGTAAATTGGCCACCTAACCTAGAGAGACAACTAAAGCAATCAAAAGACTAATAATATTTGATGAAAGGTTTTCTTACATTGACCAATAATCTTAGTTTTCACAAATGGAACTGTTCAACTACACATGAACTAATAATAAAATATGTGTATCTTCTTCAAAGCAACATATTTTCTTCTAAGACAAGCAATTTAGTAATCTTACAAATGTAGAAACAATTGACTTACTCCACTTAAAGTCAACATATAGTAAGAATTACATATTGTACAATTAAATATTATACCGCCACTCCAATTATTTGGACATATATCTAAACCAATGTTCGATTCATGCATTGAATTTTTTGTTTGCATTTTCATCTATTCTTCTTTCAAACTCTCACAAATAAACTATTTTGACATATTGTGTAGTATTTCTGCTTCCATTCTCATTCGTTCTTCTCTCAAACTCTCTCTTACAAATAAATTGTTTTAGCATATTGTGTGGTAGGGAGACAGTTTAAAATAGAAAGATTGAAAAAATGAGAATAGAAAATGACAATAGAATATCATGCAAAATTAAATATCATTTTAGTGGATGTAAATGACCTTGATTCCATAAGAAGCAAATCCATAAGAAAGAAACCAAAATTCTTTAAACATTATTAAGAATGCACTTTCTTTGGTAGAGGTTTATATATCTATTAATAATAGATTAGTCGTAATACTTAGAACACACGCGTGTTGAGTCGTACGAATAGCTAAGAAATGGGAGAAGTTGCTCAAAATAATAAATTTGATATAGGCTTGAATGCTATTACAACTACCTCTAGGAAACGTACCAAAACAAGCAGCATTGAAAGCGAAAACTTCTAAATAAAGTTTCAAAAAATAGAAAAAAAATACCAATTTAGAAATCTAAACGTTAGAATCCAGCTAGAATAATACATGGATCTTATTCTGAGCATATTGATTCGTCCTCACTAGCTCGATCCCTTGACCTGTTCAGTAATAACAATTTTAGCTGTTTAGCTTCTCTTTCCCGTTCTCCTGATAAATTTCTGACACTCCAATTTTTCAAAAAACTCCTCAACCAATTCTCTTATATCAAGAGATTCATGTTCATAGCTTTTCCATGAGCTCCAATCCTTGGGAATCAGTCAGAATATTCCAGCTTCTTTCCTAACATTTGAAGCTTATTGTCAAGGGCCCAAAGCAATTGATTGTGCAAAGCTGTCAACTTTATTTTTTAAAGACTTTTCCTATTCAACTTGTTCAGGGTTTCTTCCTTTAAAGCACAAAACCAGCTGGTTCCATCTTGTGAACCAAGATGTATGTTCACATATCCACGGCATGGCTTTAATGCCTACACTTGGGCCTCAAATTCAAAGCACTTCTAATTATATGGATGTTCAATGGAGCTCTCCCTTAATTACTCAACTTCCTTATCGTGTTTGGATTATAAATTTATAAATAATAAATAATAAGAGAAAAAAGTTGGAAAAAAAATGCTGTTAATACATTTTCACATTCCTTTTTACTTTTCTTTCACAAATTCCTAATTCAAACATAGTCTCACATTTTGTTTTCTCGTGGAGAAAAGAGAAATGATTTGCAAACGGCAAATATATTTGAAAAGATGTGCAAATGATATTTATGAAATTTGAAAACAACCAAGAGTATTTTTAATTAGAAATAAAGGGATCACAAGAAGTCATATAATTTTGTATGAAAATTGTATTTATATATCGTTACTCTTGAATTCTTTTTTTAGGTATATAAATCTCATGAGTAATGTTAGAGATCGCGAAAAAAATATAATGAAAATGATCATGAAAGATTCTTCACCTTTAACTTACACATGCAATAAAACTCAGCACTCTAATCAAAAGATAATAAATCTTCATGATACATTTCATAATATTTTTTTCATGATTCCTAAAATCATTCATATCTCATATGTTATCAATCTTTCATTGAAGAGCTACTTCGGTGTGGAAGCTACAATACTCCTGCATTGAGAATTTTGAGTGCGTCTGCCTATACTGAGATGGAAAGGAAAGAAAATGCTTTCTTGCAAATAATTTAAACAAACCAAACCTCGTATCAATTTTTGGTGCATATGAGAGAGAGAGAGAGACCATTGGACAAGAAACACCTCTAGTGTATAATAACCACACTCAAATAAACAACATTTAGGCCTGGTTTGGGTACTACAGAAAAAGTTAAAAAGATAAAAAGTTACTCAAAAAATTAAAAAGTTATCACTATTTATCAAAAAAAAATATTAAAAATAACGGCACAGCAGGCGGAGCATTGTTGTGGCTTAAATTGCACTTATTTATGTGTACACATAACACTGTGCTGTTCGACCCGTGGGGGCCATCACGGGTCCCATTTTAATAATCTGGACTGTTTGATGTGTAAAACTCGTCGAGTACTATATATCTATCAAAAGTCACGTTGATCGGATATCGGTAACTATATGATTAAATCAATTAAAATTTATAAAATGGATGGTGCTATAGTTAACGGTTGAAAAAAAAAAACTAATCCGATAAGATAGCTATCGATATCCGATCCACGTGATTTTTTACAAGCATATAGTGCTCGATGAGTTCTACACATGGAACGATTTTGATTAGCAAAACGAGACCCGTGATAGGCCCCCACGGGCCGAACACACCTTCGATTCACTGCCTGAAAAGCAGGGAATCATCTCCCCCTTCCCCTACTCTGCACACACTGTCTCGCACCATTAGGGATGGCAATTTGAACCCGGCCCGACGGGGACCCGACCTCCCGATCCCGATTTGAGCGGTTTTTCTCCGAAAAATATCCCCAACGGGACGGGGATGGTATTTAAAATTCAATCCCCGATCAGTTTCGGGCCGGGGACGGGGATATGTGTCCCAGCCCCGTCCCCGTCCCCGTCTCCCGTCCCCGTCCCCGTCCCCGTCCCCGTCCCTGCTGGTCCCCAAAATGAATTTACCATTTTATCCCTATATATATATATATATATATATAAAAACCAAACCCTCTCACACTCACACTCACCACCACAACGTCTCTCATCTCCCTTCCTCTCATTCTCTGTGTCCCTCTCCCTCTCACTCACCACAGCATCTCTCATCTCCCTCCCTCTCACTCTCTGTGTCCCTCTCATTCTCCCTCTTACTTTCCCCTCCCTCACTCACTCACTTTGATTTCTCTCTCATTCTCTCATTTCTCGTTATCATCATCATCGTCGTCCAGATCCACGGTGATTTCTCTCTCATTCTCTCACTCCTCGTTATCATCATGATCATCCAGATCCACCACCGTGAAGCCACCGATCTGAACCGTGAAGCCACCGTGAAGCCACTGATCTAACAGATCATGGTCCGTGAATCGTCAAGCCAAGCCACTGATCTGTGCATCTCTTTTCCTCTCTCTCTCTCTATATATATGTGTGTGTGTGTGAGAGAGATAGTGGTCTTCCTTGCCATTGTTCCCTGTATTTGGTTATGGAAATAATAATCTATATATAGATCTGTGTGTGTGTTCTAGATCTGTTGTCCATATATATACAGATTAATTTTTTTTACATCTATTGTTGTATGGGTGTGTGTGTTCTAGATCTGTTGTAGATTGTTGTCCATATACATATATATATATATATTTTTTTTTTGTTGAACAGATCTGTGTGTGTGTGTGTTGAACAGATTTGTCCATACATATATATATATATATATATATATTTTTTTTGTTGAACAGATCTGTGTGTGTGTGTTGAACAGATCAGCGTGTGTGTTGTGAATAAGTCTGTTGGGGATTTTTCGGGGTCGGGGAAACCCGATCCCCGTTAGGGGACGGGGGCGAGGGAGGAGATGCCTTCCCCGTCGGGGATCGGGGCCTGGGACGGGGATTTTTTAACCTTCGAGGATCGGGGACAGGGAGTGTCATCCCCGGCCCCGGCCCGGCCCGGCCCGTTGCCATTCCTACGCACCATACAGCTATTCCATCACTTCTATCACAATCTTCTCCTACACACTTATTTATACAATTTTTTAATACACATTTTTTCATAAAAAGTCACAAAGTTAACCCAAATATTCATATTTTTTTTCTCAATTTTTTCATCCAAAAAGACAAAAAGCGTACTTATTTAGGACACCCCGAACAATCCCTTAGTAAAATAAAAATACAAATTTAAGGGGGAATTGACATTTCTGACTACTTTTCCCCCTAGACTACAGACACCACAATCATGTTTTGTAAATTAAAAAAACACAATATGACCCTCTGATGATAAGAATATGAAAATGCTTCAAGAAACAATTGGTGTCACTTTAGGCACATGAACAGGGAACTCATGAATCTCATCCATCCATGGGTTCTTCTCCTTGGCCGGATCAATGGTCTTCAAAGCGCGCCAAACAGCACTATTACACTTAAACCCCGATCCAAACGCAATTTGCCATGTCCGATCACCTTTCCTAATCCTCCCCTTAGCCTCGGTATAAGCCAATTCATACCATAAAGAACTACTCGATGTATTTCCAAACCTATTAAGAGTCATTCTAGAAGGTTCCATATGCCATTCGGATAAGTCAAGATTCTTCTCTAGCTCATCCAACACCGCTCTGCCCCCGGCATGAATGCAAAAATGCTCAAAAGCCAATTTAAAATCGGGAATATAAGGCTTAATTTTCATCTTAAAAATTTTTCTAGCTACCAAAGTAGCGAAAAATAGAAGTTGTTCAGACATAGGTAGGACTAATGGCCCGAGCGTTGTGATATTTGTTTTTAAGGCTTCCCCGGCCACAGCCATTAGGTCTTTTGACAATGCAACGCCAATTTTCTTGTTTTCGTCCTCTTCTTGGAACACGCAACTGTAACATTTGTCATCGGCACCCTTGTGGGTACGGACGGTGTGGATGAGCTGATACTTTGAACGGCACCGATCAGAGGAGCGGTTGGAGAGGAGGATCGCTGCACCTCCCATTCGGAAGAGGCAATTTGAGACAAGCATAGAACGGTTGTTGCCAAAGTACCAATTTAGAGTAATGTTCTCCATGCTCACCACCAACGCATAGGAGTTGGGCTGCACCTGTGTTATGTACAATAATGTTTGTCAGTTTAGAAAAAAATTGATCAAATTATATCCGCGATCCTTATATTTCATCTTTTGTGTTATATTGGTCATTACGCTTTTAATTGATTTTTAACTTTAAATTTTATGTCAATTTGATCTAATTAATTGAGATGAACTCATTGAGTTTAGTAAGTTCATAATTTTGACTTTAAAAATATGACACATAATATTTATGTGTGTATTTTTTATAAAAATATACTAAAGACAAGCATAGAACGGTTGTTGCCAAAGTACCAATTTAGAGTAATGTTCTCCATGCTCACCACCAACGCATAGGAGTTGGGCTGCACCTGTGTTATGTACAATAATGTTTGTCAGTTTAGAAAAAAATTGATCAAATTATATCCGCGATCCTTATATTTCATCTTTTGTGTTATATTGGTCATTACGCTTTTAATTGATTTTTAATTTTTAATTTTATGTCAATTTGATCTAATTAATAATATTGTTAGTGTTTTTTTAATTGATTGAGATGAACTCATTGAATTTAGTAAGTTCATAATTTTGACTTTAAAAATATGACATATGATATTTATGTGTGTATTTTTTATAAAAATATACTAAGAGTTGTAATTAATTAGATCAGATTGAGACAAAATCATAAACTTATAGTCAAAATTAAATTAATTGAAATTATAGGAATCAAAATGACACAATAATCAAAATATAGAGATTACCATTGTAATTTACCCAAAAAATAAATAAATAAATAAATTTGATTTGCCTAACTTGTACCAGTATTAATTTACCAATTTTTTTAAAAATAACACAACTACATCATTGTGGCCTTTAATTCTAGAAAAAAAAAATTAAAAAAAAAAATTCATTGACCTTTACCCGCATATAATATGTTTCTCTTTGGTCCATCTCTCTATCACTTTTACATCATTACTAGTATCTTGTTTTTTTTCTATTGACATTTTTATGTGTGACCTGGTCGTACATGACATTAATTTATTATATATATTTTTTTACAATAATATTACATTTGCTAATTTATTATTCTTGAATCATTTTTAATGATCACATAATGAAATATTTAATAAATTAAAATTTAATATCAGTCAAACATATTAATAAAAATAAATTTTAAAAATAATAAATTTTATGTCTCAAGTACTTTTATTTTTTAACCACATTAATCACACACTTTTCGTAGTGTCAGACTTTCTGCCTTTAACATCGGACGCAAGGACCTTTCCATTTCCATGACCCACACTCACTCACTAACCAGTAAATTTAATTATTACCAGACCCCTCCCCCTCTTCCATTAATTTGGGTCAACTTTTCTCAGCTGTAAATTTGCAGGAATGGTGCCCACAATAATTGTAACACATGAAATTCATTTGGCCATCAGCTCAACAAACTCGGTTAGTTTAGGAAGTGATTTTTTAATTAAAATAAAAAATAAAATTATAGAAAGCACTTAGGATTGGCTTTTTATACAAATAAATAAATAAAGAGAAGAAAAAGAATCTTTAATTTTTTTATATGATTCTTTGACATTTTAATTTTTTTGATTTTTTTTTATGTGATTGGTTGGTTATTTATCTAAAATCTAATCTTCCCAAAATAAACCCTCAAACACCAAATAAACATTTGGATTATTTTGGAAAGATGATTATAATTAATTTTTTGATTAAAAACTTATTATAATCAATTTTTTGTGAAAGAGGGAAGTTGGTTATAATCTGGGAAGTGAATTATAACCCACTTTCTAAAAGAGGGCAAAGCGTTTTTTGTTTTGCTTGTTTGGAGACAAAAAGTCTAATCTTAAATTTTACATTTCGATATTAAAATGGGTTTTTTGATTGATAGTTCCTATTTTCTTTGACACTCAATTTTAAAGTTAGTACTTACCAAAAAAATAAAATAATATTAGGAATTATGAAATGTTTTATGAAAATTTTACATTATTGAGTTACACATATAATAAAACATCACACACTAATTAAAAAATAAAATAATTTCATGAAATATTTCATGATATTTTTTATGATTCTTATCATTCCTCAAAAAAAAAAAAAACAAGTAGTTAGTTAATTGAATTCAAATAAATCCACAAATAAGCTGTTATTTAAATAAACTGATTTGTTTAATATTATTCCTAGTACTTTTAGCTTTTTTAATGCCTCTTTTAAGTTACTAAAATTAATTTTTTTATTTTTTGGCAATAAATATGTCAATCAACTTAAGGGTTGGTTTGACATCTACTATATAATTCATCTTTTTATCTTTTTTTCATCACATCACTTCTCTACTTTTTTACACATCTTTTTATAAAAAGACAAAAAATACATTTTTTTAAGAAACCCAAACCAACCCTTAAACAAGTTAACTTTTATATGCCTACTTTTTCCTACTTTTGTTTTCCCCAAATTGGGAACTTTTTTAAGCCAATAAAAACATTAAAACAGTTAAGGATATGTCAAAACATTATCCTAAAAAAATAACTAAAACAATTCTCAAAGTAAAAAGTGACTGGACAGATAATTGGTCCAGTAATTTATACAACTTTTATATATACATATATATATATATATTTTGAAAAATAATTTGTCCCCCTAAAAAAGACCTTCCTAATCCCTTAATGCCCAAAACGATATCGTTTTGAGCTTTTTTTTTTTTTTGAAATTTACGGAGATTAGGGGGCCAAAAATTAGGGGATGTAGCATGACCCATATTTTTTTTGTAGATGGTGTTTAATGTAATTGTTTCTTAAGATAGCAAATAATATCAAAATATTTACAGTTTGAATCGATTGATCCCTTTTGTTATAATCCAACTTATTAATTTATTAACATTCATCCTATGGTAAAAAATAAAAAATAAAAAACAAAAAAGTAAAGGTGGCTAAATAGCAACAAACCTGTAACAACTGTTTAGCAAGGTCTATGGAGATCAACCCAGCACTGCAACCCATCCCACCAAGATTATAGCTCAAAACATTCCCTCTAAGCTTGTAATGATTGACAACCATGGCGGACAACGATGGAGTCGGATTAAACAAACTACAATTCACAATCAATATCCCAATATCCTTCGCCTTCACACCCGTCTTCTCCAAAAGCTCATCAATCGCTCCGAACATCACCGTCTCCGCCTCCTTCCTCGCCTCCGCCATACAAGGATTCGGCGGCACTCTCAGCACCGCCTCCGGAAAATAAGTCTTCTGCCCCAATCCCGACCTCTCCAAAATCTTCTTCTGAAACGCCAAGTTATCTTCAGTGAAAACCCCTGCTAATCCCGATCTCTCCATGAAAATCTCTCGCGTACACATACGAGCTTGTTCGGGCTTGTAACAAGCGAAGTTCACTAGGTAGACTTTTCTGGGTCGACTCATGAAGTAGAGAGTGAAGAGGAAGACTAGGAGGGCTGAACAGAGGACCACGCCGACGAGGTTGAACTTGAGGTGGTTCCAGAGGTGGGTTAGGTCTTGGAGATTGAGTGTGGAGAGATGGACTGAGACTATGCCGAGAAGAGGAGTAAGAAGGAGGTACATGGCGTGGGTGATCAAGTAATGGTATCCTAGTTTGACGTATTTGAGACGAACTGATAGGAGGAAATTGGGGAGGGTGGTTTTGGTTCTTCTCTGTTCTGGCTCGAGAATTGGATTCGTGTTATCGGCCATTGTTGATTCAGGGAAGACAACCAAAGCCTAATAATTTAAGGTCCTTAAAAGGGCTAGAATTGAATGGAGAATAGGTGAAGTTTGAGAAAACAGAGGAATTTGAGAAAACCCAGAAAGGGAAAGAAGAGAAAGAGTTAAAGCAGAGGAATTTGAGGTTTAATGAACTGGGTTTTGAGATTTAGAGGTGAATTGGAATACCCAGATCAAGTAAAGCTTAATTGATGAGAGAAGAGATGTCACAGAATAGAAGGCAAATTGGTGAGAGAGAGAGAGAGAGAGAGAGAGGTGGGGTGTGATGGATTGAAGGAGGAAGGGGGTGAGAATTTAAAGGGAGTTTTTAGAGAGAGAGAGAGAGTGGGGTGGAGGGTGCAACTACCCCAACGAACTTTTAAATGTGAAGTGGCTGGGGCATTCAATTCGGGAAGCTAGCCGGGGGAGAGGAGGGGGAGAGGGGTTTCGTTTCGCGCGAAACATATTTTTGCATATTTGACCAACGTGTACGGAATTTATTTCTAATTTGCCACTCATGAGGCAGAGCTTTGGCACGTGGCAGTGATTTCGTGTGTACATGAACACTATTGACAAAGGTCCCCTCGCTGGAGTGGGATGGTCTCTTTTTTTGCGTTCCACCTCTCTATCTATCAACTATCTCTCCATGATATGATAAAGTAATATATATAGAAAAATGATTGAGGGCCCGAAATGGCTTGGCTCGAATGTGGCTCGAATTTTTTTTTTAACGTACGAAAAAGTATTCGGTGCCCCCAAGTGGCTGTGGAGAAAATTTATGTGTTGCTATAATACGAAAAAGCATTCCGGTCGTAAATTTATGTGTTGCTATAATACGAATTTAGGGCTCGTCTGAAAATTTAATTATTTTTATTAATTATTTTTAATTTTTGATTATTTTAATTTGACTAAAAGAGTTATGTTTAGGATAATAATTAACCTTTTTTTTATAGTCGATTTGATGATTGTAAGAGAAAAAGTAAAATAATTATACTTTTGGTTATAATATTTTGTCTTATTAACTATTTTAACTTATTTTATCTTTTATTATTATTTTAGTCCCAACCCAAATTCCCAAACACCCCCTTAGGCTTGTTTTGGGAAGTTGGCTTTTAACCATTTTTTTTGGTTTGTAGCGAAAACTAAAAGTTGGCTTTTTTGATTTTTTTTTTCATTTGAGAAGTTAGTTTTTAGTCAATGGTGAAATTATAATTCTACCTTTCATTGATCAAAATGTGTTACATGGGTGAAGTTATAAATATTTTAAACTAAATGATGATAGTTTGGTTATTTTATTATGATTTGACATCATAAACAAATATTAATAAAAAAAGTCAAAAGTCATTTTTTATCAACTTTCCAAATCATTTGTCTAAAAACGCTAAAAACTTGATAAAAAGTCAAAAAAATCACTTTTTATTATCTTCCTAAAATAAGACTTAATTAGTTAAAATAATGAATTCTATCACTTTTGTGTCTTTTTATACTACCTTGAACAATATAGCATATTGTTCCAAGATGACTAAATAATTTATCGTAGAAATTTATCATGATTCAACACAAAATCATCCTAGTAAAAAAAGAAAAAGAAAAAAAGAAAAAGCATACAAAAAAACACAAAATTATAAGGTGCTGTTTGGTAACACTTACGTTTTCAGTTTTCTATTTATATTTACAAAAGTTTTAAAAATTCAAATAAAAACTTATTTGGTAAAATTTTTGATTTATAAATCAGTGGTCTCAGTTTATAAATTTGGCCAAAAAATGAAAACACAAAAAATATGTTTTCATTTTGAGTTTTCAGTTTTTTTTTTTTACCATCGAACACTAGCCACCACCCGCCACTATTTTCCACCACCGTCTTCCCCCACCCCCTCCCACCACCCACCTGCCACTACCATCCACCTGCCACTTATTTGCCACCACCACCTATCCCTTGCCACCACCATCTACCATCCACTTGCCATCCACCCGCCACCACCCATCACCTGCCACTGCCATCCACCGCCCGCCGCCACCACCACCCGCCACCACCACCCTCCCACCCACCACCACTAAATACTATGCAACATAATGGCATTTAGGAAGGATAATGAAGCAAGTGCAAGATGGGGGGGCTCAAACAGTGTTGAGCCCTTAATGAAATAAGAAAATGAGCTCAATAAAATGACCTTTTCAGTTTTGGTCGGAGCTCAAAACAGTAAGAAAAGAGGCTAGAAAAATGTTGCAAGATTGAGCTCAAAAGAGGGGAAATGATGCTTACCCTTATATCTGCAAAAGCAGATGCACAGTAGTCGGTCGGCCAAAGATGCAATTGACCAAAAAAAGATAGCCGACCGG